TTTCGCCAAATCTGTTGTTCATTATTGTTGATGGAGAGCCCTTTAAATAAGATGACAGAAGGGAAAAAAATTACAGGGAAAGGTGAAATTACAGGTAGAAAATGTGAATGACTTTTAACAAAACAGCTTCACAAAAATCCACATACATTTAAATAGGTTCAATCTGCTGCACAGAAATCCTGAAAAATGACTTGTGGAAATATGCAAACAGATTTTTAACTGGTCTTGAATGAGATCTGAAAACTGACATATCTGAATGAATGGAACTGACTATGGGGAAGCTATAGAAAAACCTGAGGGCCCAAATTATTAACACAAAATACATGTCAAACTACACACAATGCTTTTGTGAAGCAAAAGATTTGAAATTGAAAGTTTTGATTTTGAAAACAAATATGTATTCTCTGTCCTATTCATGTTCAGGAATTGGATTCAGAGTTCTGAGATCTCTCACTTACCCTTCCCAACATGATAGTAATAACAGACTGTTCAACAATCACAACTTCAATATGAAATCACAACTTCACATTGTTTCATGGACCACATTTACAGAGTCTCAAAGAACAAGGCGTGCTAGACAAGTCAATTTCAGTGTATCAGCACATGTTTAGCTGCTAGCCTCTGTATTTAGTTATCAAAATTCTGATCCTACTGAATTGAGTGGCGAGATGTTGATTTCCCGTTTATTTCAGTTTGCCCCTATGATATTGGAGGGATTTTATGGTTTTCTAGAGACACAGTGTCAGGACAAGCATAATGATTTCCTGTGCAAAGAGGGACTGGAAATGGGAAAAATTAGATTAAATGGGAGAAGCTGGAGATGCCTTTACATACTCCAAAAATTGTAAGGCTAGATTCTTGCACCTCATTCTGGTGTTGCAAAGTAGCTCAAAGCTAGCTCAACCAGCTGCTGAAAACTAGCTCAATCAACTACTTGAAAATTTCCCCTTGGTAAGAGGAAACCCAGAATGGCATAGAGACTCCACCATCTCCCTCGGGTATAGAGACCAAAGTACAGCTGCATTCCAGCTATTCCTGGCTGCTGGAACAGCCCTTGGAGGTCAAAGGCAGCCTGGGGTAGCTTACTCTAGTTTAATCTGATGACCAGTCCTTTGCAGACCCTAAATTCTAGGACAGGTCCTGGTGACTGCACATAGTTACCCATCGGGGCTAATGTTTCTCATTGGAATAGCTTTCCCACACTGTCACACATTGGTTGGCTCATACCAGCCACGTGCAAAACACTTGAGGCAATGCATCTTCCTGTTGACCTTGAAAGGTTAGTGAGACTGTCATCTGGTCATGAGCAACCACAAAACCCTGGTCTCTGCCGACTTCTGAAACACATTCATATGTTCTCATTCCTTTGCCTAAAGGCAGCCCACCTTGAGATGAGCCTTCATGTTCTTTCAAACAACTTATATCTTTCTGCTGACATTTCTCTGTTTCCAGAATCTCTTCAGAGGGGATGAAGAGAGGACCAAATAAAGAAAAGGGGTAAGGGATGATTGAACCAGCCTAAAAAAAAAGGGATGGAGGGTGGGATAAGACCAGCTAAATGGAGGTAATGGTGAGAGGGAGACAGGACTGGCGGGAGATGGAATCCAGGCGATTGGAAAAGGAGCCAATTTCTTTATTTTGTGCCAGGCTTTTTAATACCTGGTAGGACAGGGGAAAAACTCTCTGTGGGGGGGAAAAAAAACAAAACCCATCCCTGCTGCCCTTCCCCATTTCATCTTCATGAATGGTTTTATAGTCTTGGGCCAACTCCTGTGTGTTAAATTCCCACCAATATCCGCAGAAGTTCTGGACTGCACATTGGTGGCAGCCCTATGAGTTGTCTTTTCTTAACTAAGTTGTGGCATGGGACAATGGATGCTATTTTAGGGCCATGTTTTGCAACTGCTCCTCACAGAAAGTTATGGCAAGATCTTAGTCAACAGTTAGTGAGATAACTGAATGTTACGGAGATTTTACACTGGATTGTATAAAACGTTTCTTAGCTGCACTGGTATGTTCCTTTAACGAGTCTGAGTCATGTAAAGATAATGTATAGTTTGTATAAACTCACGTTTTGTTTGTAAACTTTTTAAAATGTAATAAAATTACACATTCTTTTTCCAGTAACTCTTTCATTTGCTAAATAGTTTTGATGTTCTGTTTAAAAGTTACTCAATTAGCTGTTGATTCCCAGTTGTAATGTCAGGCTCAGGACTTCCATCGCCTCAGCCAATGGAAAGCTGAGCAATGGCTAAAGTCCTTTAAAGATCTGGGTCTAAATCCACTGTAGGGAACAATCACGAACTGGCAAAAGGCTGGACGAGATAAGCTAATAGGTTTTCCCCTGGCTTTACCATCAATGAAACACTCACCCAGAGACTGCATCTTAAAGTGGTGTCAGGGTTATCTGCCAAGAATGGGGTCAAGAAGCATGGACCCGTCTTTGGTGTTCCATGAAAATACATTTCTTAGATGTATGGCCATCGGCTTTTTGTGACTGCTGGAACCTTTGTGGTAAGTAGGAGGTACATAAGCAGCAGATACATCATTCTCAAACCTAACAAAAGATTGAACTGATTCAATACTTTCTGTGTTTAGACTGCCATTGAATGGACATTTGAGCTAGAGCTCAGCAATTCTAAAATGTGGCCCCCTTTATATCAGTGCCTACATACAGAGTAGTTGCCTAAATCGAGGTCTCCACTGTTGAACATTTTGGCCGAAGTGATTTGCCTGAGATCTGACAAGTCAGGGACTGTCTAGCAAAGAACACAGCTCTCAGCACTCAGTCACCCTGTCCCCAGCAAGGACCCATGCCTGTGAAGTGCTGAGCAGCTTGGCTGACTTACTCTGCCTCTTGCAGGTTCAGTCACTAGCCTTGAAAGCTTTGTTTACGGCACAGAAGATTGGGAACTGGGAGTGACCTATTGCTTCACTTTGCTGGAGAGTTGAAATATGTGATGGAAGTGCAAGCGCGCCCAGGGCAGGGGAAAACCGGCCTTCAACAAGCATGCTGATTGGTTCATGGGGAACCGTAGTATCAGCCTACATGGTCCTGACTGGCTTTGAAAAACTGAGATGGGTGCAAAGAAAATGCACACTTGGCTACCTGCTGAGGAAAGAAATATTATCACTTCTAATAGCAATAGCACATAGGAAGTCTGAAAAAAAGAGGTCAATTCTGTTATAGTAGCAATGCTCTTGCAGTACATCAACCTGGTTTAGGGGCTGATTTTGCTATTACTCATAGAATCATAGAATATAAGGGTTGGAAGGGACCCCAGAAGGTCATCTAGTCCAACCCCCTGCTCAAAGCAGGACCAAATCCCAGTTAAATCATCCCAGCCAGGGCTTTGTCAAGCCTGACCTTAAAAACCTCTAAGGAAGGAGATTCTACCACCTCCCTAGGTAACGCATTCCAGTGTTTCACCACCCTCTTAGTGAAAAAGTTTTTCCTAATATCCAATCTAAACCTCCCCCACTGCAACTTGAGACCATTACTCCTCGTTCTGTCATCTGCTACCATTGAGAACAGTCTAGAGCCATCCTCTTTGGAACCCCCTTTCAGGTAGTTGAAAGCAGCTATCAAATCCCCCCTCATTCTTCTCTTCTGCAGGCTAAACAATCCCAGCTCCCTCAGCCTCTCCTCATAAGTCATGTGTTCCAGACCCCTAATCATTTTTGTTGCCCTTCGCTGGACTCTCTCCAATTTATCCACATCCTTCTTGAAGTGTGGGGCCCAAAACTGGACACAGTACTCCAGATGAGGCCTCAGCAATGTCGAATAGAGGGGAACGATCACGTCCCTCGATCTGCTCGCTATGCCCCTACTTATACATCCCAAAATGCCATTGGCCTTCTTGGCAACAAGGGCACACTGCTGACTCATATCCAGCTTCTCGTCCACTGTCACCCCTAGGTCCTTTTCCGCAGAACTGCTGCCTAGCCATTCGGTCCCTAGTCTGTAGCTGTGCATTGGGTTCTTCCGTCCTAAGTGCAGGACCCTGCACTTATCCTTATTGAACCTCATCAGCTTTCTTTTGGCCCAATCCTCCAATTTGTCTAGGTCCTTCTGTATCCTATTCCTCCCCTCCAGCGTATCTACCACTCCTCCCAGTTTAGTATCATCCGCAAATTTGCTGAGAGTGCAATCCACACCATCCTCCAGATCATTTATGAAGATATTGAACAAAACCGGCCCCAGGACCGACCCTTGGGGCACTCCACTTGATACCGGCTGCCAACTAGACATGGAACCATTGATAACTACCCGTTGAGCCCGACAATCTAGCCAGCTTTATTTTGGGGAAATGAAACTGTTCAGCTTTCAGCCCTCATTAGAATAAAAGGGCTTGTTTGCATGGCCCGGCAGTTCGGACTACAGGGGTGTGAACTGCAGCATGCGCTAGCTAGCTCACATTAAGGTGGTCCTGTTGGAAAGGGGATTACGTTAACGTGAACTAGGTACCTTGTAGTTTGCACTAGCAGGATTTGCATGGGGCAGTTACGATGCAACAGTCTGGTGTGCGCTGCAACTCATGCCCCTGTAGTCCACACTGCAGGGTCATGTAGACAAGCCCTAAATTAACCCAAACTGTGTCCCTTTTAGTTTGCACAAGCGGTGTCCAAATGGGGGCGCTACAGCACAGCATGCTAGGGTACACTACAGTTCACATCCCTGTAGTCCGAACTGCAGGGCCATGTAGGAATAACACATGCCTTTGCTAAAGAGTCTTCCTCTCACAGCTTTGCTAATGCATTTCAGTCAGGACCTGCATCATTCCTGCGATTTCAGTTCAGGAAGGATGTTTTTTAAAGTAGTTGTTAATGCAAAAGCTCTAAATGCTATTTGTATTTCAGGTATCTTTCTCTTCCATAAAATCTAGGTTTTAGTAGCTAAAGACTATATAGAACATGGAAGTGGCTTAGGAAAGTTTGATTTCGAGAAAGTACACTAAATTCCTTTGTGTAAATGAAACCAGAATGACCCCCCGACAAACTGATTTGCATACTTTTTAATTGAACAAGGTCAGTCTTCAATGTATTGCTTTTACATGTGTACATAAGAACTTGAATTTAAACAATGTGCAAAGTATCCTGTTAGCTAATTAATCCTCCAGATTTATACTGGATTCTCTCTTGCTGCCCTAATACAAGACTCACAAAATTAAAAACAAAACAAACAAAAAATACCCACACCTTACAAAACAATCCCTTTCTGTAATACTGTTCTGAACCAAATTTAATTTGTAGTGGTTTTAGGCTCTATTCCAACAGCAGAACTGACCTTCTGAACTAACAGCCAGGAAAGTTTTCAACATGTGACCTGATTTGAACTTCATAAACAGTAATACAGATTGCCCATTTGGGTAACATATTTATTCAAAAGTTTATCAAATCTAAGTAAAAGCTTTGTTTAAAGTATGGAGAGACCACTTTTTAAAATGTCCATGAAGGCCATGTCCTAAGGAGGCCCGGTGATGCATATGAATCACTGCAGTTAGTGTAACAACCCTGATCCAACAATCCTGGGGAAAAGTCACAGCTGAAACATTCTGATGCTGCCACTTCACATTGTCTCGCCCGTTTTGTCTCCTGTACATTCCTTTTAGTTTTGAACATTCAAGGCCACAGTTTCGTGTTCCATGATTCCTGTCCTGGAACATTTTCAAGTGTGCAACAAACCTATTTGAAAGAAAACCAGATTATTACAATAACACTAGCTCATTAGTCCTTGACTCCCCAGTGGTTTTTGTTTAACCAAAGAGGCACTAAGTGGTGAAGAATAGCATGCAAAAATTTCAAACTAGACAGTTTTGAGGACAATGCTACTTATATGTGTTTAAGGTTGAGACTGTTCGTAGTGACGCCTAGGCCAGTTAAATTCCAAAACAAGTAAAGGTCTGAAATCACTCTTTCACTGAAGTCAATGCAACAGTGGGCTGGATTAGCCCTGCAGATAAATCTAACACTTATGCATGTCCAAAATTCATCGGAAAAGAAGCACAGTGCTATTCTCATTTTAAACTGACTTGGAAATCTCTCCTGAGACGCAATGTAAATTCACAAACAAAAGTTTTCTTTAGACAAAAATAGTTTGCTGCTGCCAATGTGGTCACCACAGTATAATACACAAAGTTCAGACAGTCCTTGCCCCAAAGTGCTTGAGCAAAAGTGGGCCAAATCTGTGTGCTGTTCATAGTTTTCACTGCTGTTTGAAGCAGCTAGAGTTTTCTTTGACAACTTTCATAAGTGTTTGTTACATGCATGTAATCAAACTTCCTTTATGCACTAAAATTCATTGTTGCTGGGGTTTGATCATAGCTAACAGTTGCCCTGCATCTTCAATAGCCATCATTCTTTAGCAGTAATACCTGGACACAGGAAGACTACAAAGGAGTAGGGGTTAGGGAGTAGAGTGGGGTGGGAATTTTTGGATTAAATGGTTTTTCACTGGAAAATGCTGATGCATCAAAACCGAAACATTTCACGGGAAAGGGTGAGATTTGTCCTACCTTTTGTTGGGAAGGTTTCTCAGATCCAGGATGGAATTTCTGATCAAAACAAGGGGGGAGGGGAAGGGAGACACACATACACTACCCAGAATAGCCAATGACCTGGTGATAGAGTGCTGATATGGTTTGGATCCCTGTTCTGCCTAATTTGGAATTGCCAGAATGGATTAGATCCTAGATCCATCTAGTCTAGTATCCTGTCTCACAATAGCCTGTGCCAGATGCTTCAGAGGAAAGTGAAAGAACCCCAAATTTGGCAGATGTGGGGTAACTACTCCCCACATAGGTCTCATCCTGGGTGTCTAACAGATTGTTTTTAGATTAGCACATCATAATGGATGGCTAAGTACTGCAGACCTCAATAGCAGATTTCCTTTTTAAAAAGAAATCCCTACATTTGGCAGGCTATCGGGATCTCTTTCCAGAGAATTGCTGTGTAATCCTGCGGCGACACACTGTCCTGACCCTAACAACTATGACTACAGCACTTCTGTGGCAGCTTTTCTCCTAATATGCTAAATGAGGCATTCTGTATATTAGAAATGCAGATGTATAAACTACTGTCTTTAGCTATGATTTTTAAGTGATCTCAAAACATATCTGCCTCCTTAAAATACAGTAATAATAACAGGAAAATGCCCTTTTCATTGTAAACAGAGGAGAACAAAATTGAGGTGCTGTATAACTTTACATACCAATGCTAATTCAAGGCCTAAGCCTACAACACCAAAATAATGCCATGGACGTCAAGGAGCTACTCACATGCAATAAGGGATTTCAGGATCAGGCCCTCATAAACACTATCAACTTGAATATGGCCCCCAAATTAAATTTAAATTAAATGAAAACAAGCGTCTATAAAACTTAAGACTAATAGAACCGCTACAATAAATTGTTTTCAGAGCTCCAAAGGTGCAGTGGGAAGAACCTGAAAGTGAAAAGATTCAATTGCTTAGTATTTTTCTCATTTTGGAGAAAGAGCACCGGGACAATGAAACTGGACGCTTACCATTCTTTTCTAGACATTTGGGATTTTTTTTTTCTGATGTGGGTAAAGAAATGAATTTACCTTTGTCATCTTCAAAATCTCATGTTTTAAACTTCAGGGTCCATGAGTGTAAGAAAATGAGAGCGTACATTCACAAACCCTTTTTCTAATACAACATATTGTACATCGTAATGTGTGTAGGAATTAGCCATTCAAAATGCATGAATAGCTGTCCTGAACTCTTCAGACTGTGATTGGAAAGGTAATTTTTCAAAGCTTGAGAGAAGGATTTATAGCTTACTTATCAGTGACTTTGATATTGCTCCACAATTTGCAAACATAAGCTCAGTTAGCAGAATGTATTGATTTTGTGATGTCAATAGAGATAGAGAAAGCAGATTATCAAATTGAGATAATCCAGCATTTATCTGACACAATATATCCACTTCTCATACTGGTAGTTTCACTAGTATATAAGTAACTGTTACCTAAACAAATATTGTCCTTATGTTCACCTCTCAAGACTGGTAACTGGTAGCATTGTTGTAACAGGCTGGCAATGTTTATCTAAAACAACCCTATTCTGTTAGCAGGTGTTGATCCTGATGGGAAAGTGTTATATGAGTTCTGCTGACTCACCGAAGCAGGTGACTTCCATCATCTGGATATAAGTGAGGTGGTAAGTAGCTTGCTAGGAAGGGAGGGCCTCTAGTGTGGAAAAAAACCATACTGAGAGAGGATCACCAAGCAGATGGAGGGGCTTTGATCTAATATTTATTATCTTATTGCTATTTCTTTGTTAATAAAACCAAACCTCCTGAGGGGGCTGGGGGAATAATTCTGGACTTCATATAACATATGGACTTTATTTGTACAGTGCGTTAGGAAAAGTCCCTGCTCACAACTGCATGCAAAAACCTATTCATGTGTGTACCTTTCTTTTATGGGCCATTAAGTCTACCTTGCAAGAGTAGGCTGGTTTTGTCAGAGAGCAGCTCTTTTCAAGCATGACTCTTTGAAAATCCCATCTTTTCATTTTTCTCTCTGACTGCTACGCATTTGCTTAATTTTGATCAAGACTGAGGGAGTAAGAGTCCCCAGAGATAATAGCTTTGCTCTGGTAAGTGGGGCTGTAACCAAACCCGGTACTTCTGGTGTTTGGCTTTCCCTGTGCCCACAAGTGGCCTCTACATACAACTTTCCAGAACAGCTTGGGAAAGGAATCAAAATATCTCTGCCTGCAACTGGGTGCTCACAGTTACCTCAGCTCCTGATTCTGTCTTCTAGACAGTCAGAGTACAGGTCCCATCTCTCCAAGATGCCCAAAAGTGGTAAACCCAACATAACAGTTACCATACCCAAACCTAGAGCCTGTTTGTTCCCTTCCATCTGCCTTCCTCCCCACAATAAAATGCCTGGGAAGGGACCTGGGACAAAGGACGTTTAAAAAGTGATTTGGAATGGAGTGTGGATCATCATTACAAAGGGGTGACCCTAAGGGCCTGGTGATCCAGCCATGAGGTACACAAGGCAGTTCATCTCATATTAGGCATGATCTCATTACCTTCCTTTTCTTTATTTAGGAACTTATGTTGATCTCCTGTCTAGGGTAAATGTTATTAAACAGACACAATTAATCTGATCATTATCATTGACTGTATTATAATGATTTAATTACAATTTACCTATATTTCACATAACCTCTAACTTCAGTTTGTCCTTCTCTTTTTTTTAGAATCGCTGGACCTGCCAAGAAACTGTTATGGGGATCAGTAATATTGCAGGACAAACTGCCTGGTTTTGGTGACAAAAATAAATACATCAGTAAGTCATGCACCAATCTTGCTTCACCTTCTCCTAATTTATTCCACCTGACCTAACCTGCCTTTGTTAGGCAAATGTGCAAGAAAACTATCAAAGGGGATTCAGTACCATAGCTAGAGGTTAATCCTGCCCTCACCTGGTATGATTCCGTTGGAGGCAAGGAGTTGGTCAGATACTGAGATGATATAGTAATGGATGAAGGATTTTTTAAAAAACCAACTGTATGGGATGGTATAGCATGGAGCCCAGCTCTATAGGGGATTGGAGTCTTTGTATGGCTGTGTGCGAAGGTGTATGGATGCATAGAATGTCAGGCTAAAGGATCCACTGCTAGGCAGATCCTCTGCCAGCAGAGAGGGGGATTTTAGGACTCTGGAAACTACGTCAGCCATTAGGCTGGAATAGACTCTGTAGAGCAACCTGCTAGGGGACAAGTCTTCTCCTTTCATGGAGATCGCCAGATGAGTTTGGGAGAGAGGATTTCCTTGTGAAGGAATCTTAACCCACCTGATCATCAATTAGAAGGAATTATATTTCACACTCACAGGAGATGGAAAAGCAGTACTAGGAAGCATGTCTTTTGTCTAATGCGGTATTTCTCTACCGAGTTTGTCTGCCATAGGAATGAGTTAAAGAGAAACACTACTGAAGAGTAAGGCTAAGATTTTGTCACTGATATTTTTAGTAAAAGTCATGGACAGGTCGCAGGTAATAAAGAAAAATTCACAGAAGCCCATGCCTAAAAATGTCCGTGACAAAATGGGGAGGGAGAAGGCCCCAGCACCTACCACTGCTGGGGCTCTGAAGTCCCCCACTGCCTGCAGCAGTGGGGCAGCTGAGGGGTCCCCAGGCTGCCCGCTGCCTGCAGAGCACACTACCCTCGGCGGCCAGGAGCTGCAATCAGAGTGTGTCCCCCCCACTGCCCACAGTGGCCGGGAGCTGCAGGGTCCCCCCACTGCCTGCAGTGCTTCAGGGCTGAAGTCATGGAGGTCTCTGGAAGTCACGGATTCCGTGATTTCCACGACCTACATGACAAAATCGTAGCCTTACTGAAGAGATCTATAAAGTCCTATTACAGTCATCAAACACTCTTTATAACCTTGCTATTTAAACCAAGGACAAAGAATAGATGGAATAAGTTTTAATAAAGAGTTTAATTCGTCAATGTTTATCTGTTTAGTGATATTTTCCAGGCTGAACTGAACATTTTTGCTGCACTATAGAGAATATAGGTTTCAGAGTAGCAGCCGTGTTAGTCTGTATTCGCAAAAAAGGAAAGGAGGACTTGTGGCACCTTAGAGACTAACCCATTTATTTGAGCATAAGCTTTCTTGAGCTACAGCTCACTTCCACTGAAT